GTCAGATGAAGATGATCATCTATGGGCAAATGGATGGGCATGAGACTGCATTGATAAAATCATTATTATTAAATCTTGTAAAACTATTGACAACAGTTTAGTTCAAAAAAGCAGGTTCAATTGTAGAACTTTTCCAACTATATAGTGAGAAACAATATTTTTGTTTTGCCTTATGCTTAATGGCCTTAGTAAATAACACATTAATGAATGTATGAAAAGATTTGCAATCACGTGTTTCAGGAAATGTAAAGTACAAAATCAGCACATAATGCAGCAGGAATCATGTACAAACCAGAATAATCACGATCAAGGCTGAGGAAAAGAGTACACAGTGAAAGTTATCAGTTATCTCAGTTATCTATTTGCCATGCATTCACATTCTTAAAACCTTACTGCGCTGTCTGAAAATATTTCACTTCTTTCTTTCAAATTGGATCTGACTGCCTGCAAATTTCATTAATTTTCCCTGAGGTAAGTGCAGGTCCCTGGCTTGGTGACATTATCCATTCAGTGTGCATGGAGAGAGATACCTGCTCTACATTCATGAGCTAAAATAAATGTCCAACTCTTTCAAACCAAAAGAAAATTATTATTTTTTTGTCTTGAACAGAGAAGACTAGAGAAGTATCCAATTCAAATTTCACAAAACCTCAAAGGCACTGTGAAAGTCAAGCCCATGGACTTCCTCAGAATCAACAGTGAACCATAATCCATCAGACACTGGTGGAAACTACACTGAAGAGCACGTAAAACCAACAGGAGGAACTTGTTTGCACAAAGGGATGTGGGAATGTGGAATGAGTTACCCAGCCACATATTATGGCCGTATGAAGAATACCCTGGTTTCTTTCAATAAACTGCTGGATACCATCCTAATACCAAGCAATAACTAAAAAATGAGCTAGATTACCCAAATAGGCTCCTCTCATTTTTTACCTTTCTTACTGTACTGTATGTATGTTCTTCCAGGATAAGAGGGCAATGTGCTGACATCTCATTTTTAGTGGCCCACAATCCATTACACAATTCAGTGGCTTTATAATGAAGTTAATTTGACAAAATAAGATATTATCTTTACACGCAAAACCTTTTGTAATAGTAAAAGTGTGTGTTGTGACGTGAGGGTGTTCACTTCGCTAGGTAATGCGGTCATTCACCTTTTTCTGGTGTAATACTGCAATTAAGAAATCCACTTAAAATAATCAAATATATTACTGTCTTCAGCAACAAAGCTTCATAAAGTCTTAGTCAATTGAACTCACATTTATTCATTTTTCCTAGCCCACAGTACAAGCAAAAGCAGGAAAAAATAACAGAAACAAACACCCTGTGCTCGTCGGTCCTGCTACAATTAATTCCATGTCTTCCAAATGTACAATGTGTGTTGCTGCTACCAGTCAATGTTATAAATTTATAGCATGAATCCCGGAGAGGTACATGGAGCAGTTTTCCTGGGCAGAAGATGAAAGTCTTGCCTTCTAGCAGGCAGTGCAGGGAGACATTTTTGTTATTTCAGAGGTGATGTATTCTGCAAGAATCTGGACTGACATGAAGAGCAAAGTTAGGGAAAGTTCACGGAGTACTTGTGTTCTGGCTAAACCAACTGTCTGGAGCCCTGCCAGCTCGTCCGTCACAGTGTAAAGGCACTGGAATGCTTCCTTGGACATTACCCTGGATCCATGAAAGAAGCTGATGCTTCTTTTTGAAATATATATGGAAGTTTTGTACCGTATGAACTGAGTACCCAGTTACTGTAGTTCACATATTTTTAATGGGCAAAACTTTCAGTCTTTGGAGATGATAATCCCAAGGGCTATATCTCTGAACAGGCTCAGATAAATACTCTCATGTTTATTTTCAAACATGAAGGGGCAAAAGTCCCATTGCAGATAGATCCATTTTGGGTAGTGAAGGAGATCAACACAAGTACCAGGGAATGGATCCCTACTTTATTATGAGTAAAATATAAAAAAATGGACAGATTAAAATTGAAATTAAATTTTATTATTTTGCTTTTCAACTTCAGTATTAGAGCCTTAGGAACATGAAGCCTGAAATTAAACTCCTATACAAAGGGAATCTTGCCTGTGGTCTCAATATTGAAATGATTAAACAATGTTTGCACCTTTCCTGGGCCATGTCATCTTGGAAACGTTTTCAGACACATTGTTAGAATGAGCTGGTCTCACTGCACATTAACCCAGCTCATCCAGACATTGTGACATCTTGTGTAAGGAGACATGCCAAGATGATAGTTGTTATTCTGTACCTTATTCTTGAGTATCCCTAAATGAGCCCTGTCAGTACTTTCATCGTCTTTGTATTTGTTTCATTTTCTGTTGGTGCACAATGTAACCTTTGTCCTTCTCCTTCAAACAAAGACAACTGTCTCTGCTGATCTCCCTGCCAGTTGGCGCTCCCCGTTCATGTTGGGAGAACCCTCTAAACCACAGGACTCCTTAACAAGAGCCACAGCAAGTCCAAGATAACTGCCTGCACAGCCTGATCTGGGATTTACAGGAAATGTAAAACCCCTAGCTAGTTTCCAGGTGCATTTTAAAAAAAATGCTATTAACTTGGAGAAGACACTGCCCGCCCTCATGTCTGAGGCCCCACTGAGCTCCGTAAATACAGAACAGCAGCAAAGAGCGACCCAGGGAGACTGCAAAGATTCTCCTTCAGGTAATAAGATGATGAAGGGGGTTCACGGATGCTGCCATGATGCTCCTGTCTCCACCAAACAGCCAGAGGTGATCCTACTTGCCCTGCGTCCCCTGGGGAGACTGAACACCCCTTGTCCCTCATGAGAGACACAGGTGTGACACTGCTCAAGCTCCTACAGCAATTGCGAGAATTCACTCACAAAGAGAGTGCTCCTGAAGACATAGTTAGTGACCAGACCACTATACGGCTTGCTTTCTGTTAAAACTACCTTTCATCTTTTTTTTTTTAAAGAGGCAGACATGCAGGGTTCTTCTCTAATTCTGGTATACAACTAAGCTCTCACTTTCAAAGAAAAGTCAAAGGCTGAACTGTATGTTTTCTGTGCATTCCCCTGATATTCTTTAAGCAGGTTATAATATTCTCAAAGAAGATTATACAGTATTTCCTAGTCTTCTGATAGTGCCAATGACGATGACCCTGAAATATCATTTATGCGTGTTTGTAAACACTGCTGTGCTTAATGATAATCTGTACAGGGGTTTGCCTTCCGTGAAATCAGAGTGTGAACAGAATTACTTTCACTGCAAACAACAGTTTAGCTCTAGATACAGAAGGTAAAACCCTCTTCAAGACATACAGTGTCTCTGGAATGCGAGTAACAGACGGAAACACAAGGCATTAAAAAGTGAATTTTACAATGAGGAAATATAACACAGCATAGACATATCACTTGTGTAATAAATATTACTACATCTACGACTGTATATATATATACGAATCGTTTTCTTTTTTAATTATTACGGTATAAATCACCATGACCTTTAAAAAAAACAGGTCACAGCTTTTAAAGCGTAACGGTACGTCGGCCCGTGTTTGGGGGAGAGTTCTTTAAGTGAAATAAAGCTATGTAAATACCAATCAATGGATGGGTGTCGATTTGCTGTATTGTTAATGACATAAGGCGATGATCTCTGTACCGTTCAAGCGCTTTTCCGGGACCTCTTGCGCTGCAGGAGGTTAAGATTTATATTATGTTTAATTTGCAGGTTGCTATACAAAGAGCGCATAATCGATACATCCATAAAACAAGCAGAAATCATCCGTTACAATAAATGTCCATAAAGCATTAAAACAGCGCATAAAACCCCCTGTTTGACCTTTTACCAAGACTGCCGTAAATACACTGGTTTAAGTAATTGAACGTCTTTTCCTTAAAGATAAAGGACACGGTTTTACTTACTGTAAGGGAAGCAAAGATTTGAAAACATTTTTAACTGAATGCACTGTAAGGGGCCCACAGACAGCCACAGTTATCGGTGCTTCGGAATTTCAAGATCTATTGACAGCAGTGTAGATTATTTCACAATTACTCAATCTACCAACAACAAGCGTAGTACTAATAGGCCTCGTTTTGTGTATTTATACACTTTAATAACGTACTTTGCGTGATTAATATAACATTACAGTTTCAGACACAATTACAAACGCAAACAATCAATTTCAGTAGCAATTACCTACACTACCTTTCCTAATGCTAGACTTGTGTTGGCAATACAAAGCTAATTACGTCAGTATGGGCAGTTATAGCTGTAATGGGCCATAACTCAGCTCAAAGTCTTAAATGTGTGTGTTTTAAGATCCCTGTTAACTGCACCTGGAACAAAAGATCGTCCAGTAGTTTTAAACTCTTTTTTTTTTTTTAGTCTGAAGTGTTTTTTTTTGTAAGTTTCTACCCGAATATCAAAAATAAAACAGATGTCGATCCTACCTTAAACTCCTCCAGGATTTTGTACGTTTTCCCCCGGTATTCACAAAAGTTTTTAACCTCCTTACACTCGGCACAGCACCCGTTGTGCTCGACTTTCGTGCATTTGGGGTGGATTTTCGGGCACTCGGGCTGGTCGCAGACAGGGCCGTCCTCCGTGCACACGCAGGGGCAGTTCGAGTGGCCCGGGAAGAACCGCTCCCCGAGTTTGTAGACGAACCCGCTGTCGTCCACGCAGCCCTTCCCCCGGTAGTCGTCGAAGAGGATGTTGTCGTTGTTGGCGGCGTGGTCGGCCTCGTCCGCCGGGTAGTCTTCGGGACTGATGGCGGCCGGAGAGACGGGGGCTTCGAAGGCTAGAAGGAGTACACAAGCGACTTGAACAAGAGGGCCCATCCTTCTCTGTGGATTTCCTAGACATTAAAAGATCGGGGTCTTAATAACAGACCAGGGAACAGAACCTGTTCTGAGTTAGCACATAATAATATTATTCTTATGAGTAATAATAATACAATAACTATTCCGCTCCACTCATTCCTGCAAAATGAAATTGTGATTGTTGCTATACGATTCGGTAGGCACTTTAATGTTTTTTTTCCTGATTTGGGAGGAAGTTATGAAGGCCACAGCGAGGTTCAAATTTTTAAGGGCTTTTAAAAAAAAACAGCACACTAAGGCCTACCGTTAACTCTGAATCAAAAGTCTAAACATTATTCAGAATACTTTACAAAAGAGGAATACTGTTTGTCTGGTGTTCACTCTCACACAAAAATGTGAATGTTCCTGACATTCACTGCAAACGTGCTTGTCAGAACCAGTATTTCTTCTCGTAGTGGGGGGAAAATAGATTTAATTCATTCAAAAACACACGGAACAGGAAAATAATTTGGGCTTCCTGTTGCCTGTTGCCTTTCGCCTTGTTCTGTCAGAACAACAAGAATAGAACTTCTATTAAGGTTTCAGCTGGGGCAACCCGCCTTAACAGAGATCTGCCTGACCCTTGTGGACAGAAGATATGACTAATGTATCGATAAATGCATTATTGGTACAGGTAGCGCTTTTTTCTTTAATGGAGAGGGAAAAATAAAAGCGCCGGCGACATTTACAGTACGAGTACCAGTTCTTTTCTGTCTCTTAGTCATCTGTAGAGCGTGGCAAAGACAACCCCCACCGGCTGGCCTCTCGCGTAGAGAACTCGGAAACAGGGTCTTCCGAGTTGGCCTCTTTGTCAAAATAATTTGGACAATCGCCCGCGACAGCGTGAGAGTCCTACCCACCCCCTTCTAATTCGATCACTTCGTAGCCCTCAGAGCTAGACTGCTAAATACGCTCCCGCTTGCCGAAAGCTTGCAGAAAACACATTTGCACGTTTATTTTTGTTGTTTAAACTGTACTGACAGCAGAGACAATGCCTCATTGAAACCGAGAGCATTGGGTGAAGAACGAGTTCGGCTGTTCATAACTTTGATTACATTACAACAGCCTCAACAGACGGCCATCGAAAGCTTTTGAGCACGTAAAGCTTTAACTATTTATGGCTATACTACTGTACGTGTTAAGTAGGAACGCCTGGTTAATACACAAACAGCAGGTAGCAAGTCTTTACTCCGTTAATCAACATATATATATATACAGTATATAACGGTATATAGATCAATAATCTGTTAATAAATACTTGGCAATCAGAGGTTACTTCTTCCTGTATGTAATCGGGTTAATTCCAATTTGCTAAAACAAATTACAGGTAGGTAGCGAGTTCGATTCCTAATGGAACACCCCTCACGGCAGTATAAGAATGAGTGATCAAACTGCACATGACTTGAATCCGATTTCAGCGTCTTGGCAGATGTTGTACGTACTGTACAGCTGTACCAGAATCGCTGCAGCTGCCTGACTCAAAAGTGAACCTTTACAGAAGTCGTTGAGATACCGTTGCGTTTTCTAAAATAAAAATAAAATAAAAATAAAAATCGCGGTGACGTGTAAGGATTGATATCACGTTTTATTTTTTCAGAATGCCAATTTAGTTGGGATACATCCCGTGTAACATTAACATTCATTTAGAATGGAAATGGTTCCTCTATGGGCGTATTGTGGAAAACAGCAACAGATGTGTTCAAGAGGAGATACTATATATTATACTTGTCTATTGTTTAGACTTAAAATGAATGCAGTGCAATAGATTGGAATCACAACGCCATATTTAATGAAGTTGCAATAGGTATTACTGGACTCACCGCGCTTATAGTTCTGGTTCCACTTTGTTAAAGTCGGTATCAAGCGAGTCCAGTTCCCCCCTGGACTGCCTAGACATACAGTCCAGCTTAGAGTTTAACCATGTGGTTGTAGAAGGCAGATAATAATCCGTTCCCCAACAAGACGTGATTGAAAACGACGTGAGACTTTAGTACCCCTGCCCATCTACACGTTTCTCTGGAAGCTGGGGCGTCACGCTTATTTTCGTATGTAACCTGGATGAACTCATTACTTTCAATTTTGTCTCCACCGAGCCGATGAGTGATAACCGCGGTGAAAAAAAAGAAGAAAAAAAAGAACAGTAAAAATATTTTCTGGGTTCTTGAAATGTCGGTTTTGTGATTTTTATCCGAAGTTCCGAAAGAGATGAAGAAGTTAAAGTTCTTGGCTTTCGATGGCACTTTCAGTCTTCTGTGAAGCAAGGATGCTCACGGGACTTCCAGATAGCGCAGATGTAACAGGAAAGCAAGAGGAATGAATTGTTCCAGAAGCCCTCTGAAGAAAACGAGACGATTGTGGAGACTGGAAACAGAGGAAAGAAAGAAGATGTAAAAGGACATCAATGCAGGAGCGGAACAAGACGCAAACCGCAGACTAATCCGTTTACAGTCACAGATAAGACCGCAACCCCACAGCTTCACAAAACCGGTGCAAAGTACTGTAATCCTTCTCTCAAATACGCCCAGAGCCGTGCGAGCTGAGAGCACAGGCGCGGCTCGTCCCAGCAGCTTCGCTCTCTGAAAGCTAACGCGCGCGTTCCTCTTTTCAGCACCACGGACAGCGCCTGTGAACCGCCGTCGCTTACACAACAAGGCAAGGGGCTCGTCTCGTTAGAGACAACTGCAAGACTTGGTTTTGCCTCCTCAGACCAGTCCACGCAAGCTCTGTGGCGCTTGGCTTCTTCAAGGGACTAAAATTCAGGCGTCTTTTTTAATGAAAAGCTTTTTTTTTTCCGTGCCCGAAACATCATGAACAAAAAATAGATACCCCCCCCCCGCCTCCCACCATTGAATACTGTCTCTGGAAAGAAAGAACGCCAAGGCCAGGGTGTTGCTCTCTGTAGTTTGGTTACTTGTCGCAATAAAAAGTCAACCTTCCTGAGCAAAATAATACGCACTTTATTTTCGGACAAAAAGCTCTCGGCCTCTGTGAAACTTTGCAATAATAAATGTCAGACTCAATGTAAAAGAGGCATATTCATACGAGTTTTGTAATGTGAACGCCAAACAGTCTGTTCAAACGTGCCTTATGCGTGAGATTCCTTAAATGCAACAAACCTTAGAATAGAAGCTAATACTTCAGTTTACCTATAGGGGCCACTGCCTTACTATATACCACAGGCTTCATCTGCTCCTCAAGCATAAATTAAACAGACTAAAGAAGAGGAAACATATAGAGAATAAAAATCCTAAATTAAAGGATATCTTATGAATTACAATACAGCTTGCAATAAACAGTCTTCGACCCTGACTCCGGTTGGATTAATTACCATGGACAGCAGAGGGTGTGACTTCACATGACTAACTCTTCCTAGCAAGTTAAAAAAAAATCCCGTGATGAGTATTTGTAACAAATTCACGCATCGCTGGAACAATTATACCCCCCACTAATACAGCCTGATGGTGAGGATGGCTACTTTTGAAAGTAAAAAAAGCTCTTTTCTTGCTGTGAACTAAATGGAAAAAAAAATGTAAGCGCACATGTGGGATTTCTAAATCAAACATTCTATTTGTGTATTTGTCTCCAGAATACAATGAGGAAAGAGAACTTACAAAGCGAATTTATCAAATATTTTTATGGTTTCTAGAGGAGTAGTGAGAAACTGTGACTACACACCTATCCCTTAACTGCGTGTGCAGAAGCAGCACATGACTTTAAATTGAAAATAAGCTCAACCTGGACTTTTACATAGGGATGCATTTTTATTATTCTGTTTAAAGTAGTTTATTTTCTGCATCATCCATCTACAGACAATTGTTTTACATCTTATAATTACATCTTGACACCAGCAGCACACGGGAAGTTTTCCAGAGCTACTGTAAAAAAAAAAAACAAACGGTTTTGTCAGCTACTAAAGAAAAAACAGACAAAATGACTGACAGTGCAATTTCAATCCTGACGAATAACTTTGACTCCAGCTCTTCCTAGTTAACATTGTTACATGACAACTGGCAGGGAATGTATTCCTGTGGACTGATTCCACCATTGATCCAATCAATCAATTAGAAACTTCTTTCATTGTAAATGGAACATGTTAAATTGTGCCAAGATTATAAAGGCAGACATGTTAGGGGATATACTTAACCCCCCATTTCCTTGAACCCACCTATCCCACCATATTGATGTCCCAAACATGACAGCAGTCATCGTATCCATATATCCATATACTGTATATCTGTTTCACTCAACACAGTACACATTTTACGTGTGTTGAGTGTTATTTAAGTTTTCTATTGTTTTCTTTCTGTATCAATTATTTCAATAACTGTCTAAAAATACTTTTAATTCCTGAATCAGGATGCATTGAAATCCTCTTTATTTAAAGTACTGACACTTTAACCTACAGTATATACTTAAAGACTACCAATACAGGCATTTTAAAGGAGCTTATTTTCCGCTTAGGTAAAATAACCAATAGTTTTTAAAGATCCCTGTAACATTCTAATTAAACAGTCACGGTTCAGAATCAGGAATTGATAAAATAATAGGGGCAGGTTTCGTGACCTCAGAAAAATGGATTTTACAGAACTGAGCAGTAGAGGGTTAATGGCTGTGCTATCTGTTTTATTTGGCTTCTATCAAGAAAAAAAATAATTGGCGGTATATTTATTTGTGGTTCTGTTGCACAGCAAGAAGGCAGGCATTTGGTTTGTTTAAGACTCAAACTTTATAATCATGAGGTGCACGTAGCAAAGAAAATCAATAAAATCCATTTCTGAGCTGAGGTGGCCCCACCAGCAGACTAATCACTGCTGTGCAGCTCAGGACTTTGGTCAAATGCTTCTAAGAAACATTAAGCCAGTTTAGAATGAGCTAACAGCAAAATTCTGAGACTGTTGTTCTTATACTGTACAAAAAGATAACGATAAACTGGGCAAACCCAAAGGAGAAGGTCACAAGGAATGAGATGTAAAAAAAAATCAATGCAGTCTGTGATTAAGTAATAAGATCAGACGGATTAAGAAGAAATGATTACTTCAATGTGCTGTGGGTTGAGGTGAAATAACCAAGGATTCAAGTGATGCAGAACTGATCAGTGAGAGGTGGTGTCAGTCACTTCTAGCCAACAGCCATAAAACACAGAGATGGCCTTGGTCTCTCTGCAGCTGCAAAGTCTGCCGCTTTTCGTACAGATTTCTTTTTTAATTGGATGAGCAGCACAGACATTTTTATATTCCTTGTATGCTTAAACAATATGAAAGGAAACGGTGGCGTGCCTTTATTATTAGAACTTTTTAACCTACTTTCATCTGTCAAAGCCCCCATACTTGATTTCACACTCATTAAAGCTCCAAAATAAGGAATACATGTATTTTTAGTGGACGCGTGTCAATTCATTGTGGGAATGGCTACATCTGAGGGAATGCCTATTTTGCAAAAATTAATTGTCAGCTGGAATATAACTTTTGACATAATTAAACTGCACATGTAATAGCACATCAAAAGGACACATCAGTCATTTTCAGAGAACAATGGCTACTAGATATGAATGTAGGAGCAGACACAACTGGGAGAAGAACATTTGGCACTATTCAACCTGTTGGTAGCAAATTGTAACTCGGGGTCTCATTCAGCCAGTTCCTGAAAGATGTTAGTATATCGGCTTCAGCAGCATGGCTGGTCAGCTTGTTCCAGACTCCCACAACTCTTTGCATAAAGAAGTGCCTCCTGGTTTATGGTTTAGATGTACTTCTTCATAATTTCCACTTGTGACCTCTGGTTTGTGTTTCACTGTTCATTCTGAGGAAGACAATCGGGGTAATGCTGGCAATGTCTTTGAGCATTTTGAATACCTAAATCAGGTGCCCTCATAGTCTTCTCTGTCCTGTGTGTTACACAATTAATAATGCTTCTGACTTGCTTTTAAAATAGTGATTTTTGTTCACTGCTGTAGTGCCACATGACTGCATTTTGAAGTGAGAAATCACAATTAAAAAAGTGCTAGTTGTAAGATAAAAGTCCTTGGTAGTACCTTTGTCCTCGATTTGTTTCTTGTCTTCATTGCCCACCATAGGTCTTTATGACAGACTGAAATTCATAATTACTATGCTTAAAGATAGCAGTGGTAGTGGATGTGAAATACGTTTTTACAATAAAAAACATATTTAGAGGCAGCTTGTCAGATTCCTAGGAGTGATTATAACTGGCTCTTCCATATGCAGCTGATCAGGAAGTGCAGAGATTGTACTGCTGACACACGTTCAAAGTACTGCTGTGTGTTTTTTTTTCCAAGTTTAAACATTAAAAACATGTTTTTTTTTTCATCAGACTTGCTTTCGGAATTAGTTGTGAATTGGCAGACACAAAGATGGTCCTTTCTGAAGTGCTTAAGGTCACAGGGCCACTTCCCACTTCTGAACTGCTGCGTGTGAGACTAAATTGGAGAAAAAATATTTCTGCAGCATAACCCAGAGCTTTCCTCTGGCTGTACCAGCGAGACTGTCCCTCACCCGAAAAACCTGTTGCTTCAGTACCAGCTTTTAAAACAGTTTCAAAAGATGTCAGCAACGACGAAATAAATAATGTAGTTCAAAAATCCAATCTCTCGGAGAAAAACTGGGGACCACTGTGGAAGCAGTCAGCATAGATGTATGTAGCATCCTACTGAAACATTTATTTTTGTTGTTCACTGTCAAGATGATTAAACAAAACAGAAAGAGAATGAGGATGTATGAATTCCTTGTGATTTTTCATGAATTCCTTAGTAAAAAAAAAAAAGGATACGAAAAGGATCACAGGGGATGTGGAGGAAGGAAAAATACTACCATAAAACTTTCCTTATTTGTGTTATCTGATTAAACCAAAAAGCAGGGTATACTATACCAATGTGATGGGAGCATCACAGGAAAAATGCAATGTTCTTTCTAAGATTATTCCACTTATGATACCGATTGCTGGCATAAATATTCTTTGCCAGTATGAGCAATTACTTTAAGGCTCTCTTACTGAAGGCAGTCCAGTGGTTTATTATGCCAGTTCATGTCTGAAAACCAATCAGCAAGCCATTAGACAGCTGGTAAAGCACTGTACATAGCTAGCAGTCATTGCGACAAATTCTAATATAATTAGCCAGTGGGAGCATCTACTTTTTGTGGTTTATCAGTAGCTTTGCAATTTATCGCATTAATAAAACAATGTTACATATGCTTAATTGTAACTATATTTTTGTTTTTGCATGAAACCCTTTCCTAAGCTTAGGTTTTGTGGTTAGTTTCCTGCATAGATGACTATCTTTTGCTGGCATGATAAATCAAAACCCAGAGCATAATTTTCCTAAGGATACCAGTTTTTTGTAAATGGTGCTATTTTTCCTTCTTTCTCTAGAACTGCCGCTCCATTTGGTAGCAACAATCAAGGTCTGGAGATACTGTAGGTCTTTTCTTTTTTAAAAGATAACTATTTTCAAGGTTTGTTGTGCTTTCAGGCAAGGAAATACTGCTTTGAAAACAAATAAAGGACCTCCTGGAAATCTTTCATTTCCAGATTGATAAGAAACAAGCTTTAAAAAGCCAAAAAGGATCTTTCCGGAGAATCTTTAACTGCAAGGTGAAATCCAGTGTTTGTATTACCTTTTAAACATGACAAAACTTTTATGCACATCAGGATTCTGTAAAAGGCAGCTCACCAACATGAATGAATAACCAATGGTGAGAAATTAAGTTGTTTTTCCTACTTCTTGAAAAAAAATAATTGACAGCTGAAGGCAGCTGTAATTGTGTGGGCAGATGACATATTTGTTGACAAGGACACTTTTGTACTTTTTGCTCTACTTTCTCCTGTTACATTTTAGCTTCTCTCCAGTTCCCTAATCAGTGAGAATGGCAGAACAGCTGAACAGCCTGAGCACCGCTGTGCTTGTCTTATTGAGTCGCGGGCCGTCAGTCAAGTAGAAGGAGCCTCCTGTAGGACCCAGGGGCAAAGACTTAGAACCCCAAGGACCCTGGTGCCCTTCACAAGTCGAGGAAGTGCCTCGGCTCTGAAATAGCTGTATTGGAGTCCCTGTTCAAGCTCCGCTGTGTTCCCATGGAT